TGCAATTTAGTAGTAACTAGTTGAGTTGGTGTGATGGTGACGTACTTTTTCAAGGGAAAATTTGCTTATACACAATTCTCTTGTTTCAATAGCAAATCGGAGATTCAATGCCAAATCGCCATGTTCCTCAAAATGTGATATTTGAGATACTCTTAACACTACCGCTGAAGTCTATTCTAAAATTTTCATGCGTTAGTAAATCTTGCTGTACTTTAATTTTTAGTCCTGAATTTGTGAAATCTCATTCCAAGATTTCACTCCAAAAGAAGGAAGCAACTAAACTTGAATTTGGAGGCTGCGCATAAAATAGGGTAATCCTCCGTTCCTGTTATCTAGATTCTTTTATGAATCAAATAAAATGTATAAAGTCTTCTGCAATCTGCCGTACTGAAATAATCAATTCTTTAAGGATCATATGTTCTGTGAATGGACTATTATGTGTATTTGTGGGAACACATAAAAGTTTCCTTGGAACCCAGCCTTAGGAAAATTGAAATGTTTACCATCGTCGGTTTCTCTTGACCTTAATAATTTGTATTACGGTTTTGGCCTCGATGAAAAAAAAAAAGATGATTACGAGGTTGTCGAAATGTATAGTGTTTTGTCGGTAAGGATCACGTAGCAAGTGTGAAGGTATACAGTATAAGAGATGATTCTTGGAGAAAAGGTAATAAGTGGAAAAGTAGTTTTGAATTTGGCTGCTCCTGTGTGTATCAATGGAGCATTTCGTTGGCTAGGTGAATACAAGCTCCCAAGGTATATGAATTCACTGAATTTGGTGACTCTGATGTACGAGAAAGTACCTATGCCCAGATGTGATACAGTTGGTCTTCGACATTTTTCATTGGGAGTCTTTAGGGGATGCCTTTGTTTGCTTTATAAATGTAATATAAAGTTGGATGTAAGGACGGTGAATGACTGTGGCATCAAGGAATCTTGGAATAAATACGCTTGCATTATGGATGTCGAGAATTATTCGTTCAACGAACCATTGCCATTAGATGTAGTATTCGTAATGAACTATGGGTCAGCTTTGATGTTATACGATTCAAGTGCTGAAACATCCAATTTCCATGAGAATTCTTTTATTGATGGGCCTTATCTTGAAGCAGTTACCTACATTGAAAGTCTTGTTTTGTCCAGCTTTAACCATGAGGATACCCATTGTCTGGACAATAGAGAATAAAGGTCAATTACATTATGACAATATTACTAATTTCTTGTTGAGAAAATTTGTTTGTGTTGATTTTTAAACCCACTTCTATCAAAGGACCTACTCTAACTCTCAAGAAAAAGGAAAGGTTAATTGAAATATATCAATGGATTCAGAATGAGACTTTGGCAGTGAAATTTCCCATGGCAGTCTGGGAGATGTGGGGGTTATTGAAATTGACTGTAAATGTGTAAACCATTTTACTTGATGCTTCTGGGCTGCAACTTAGTAGTAGTGAGTTGAGTTGAGTTGGTGTGATGGTCACGTACTTTTTCAAGGGAAAATTTGCTCATACACAATTCTCTTGTTTCAATGGCAAATCGGCCTAAGGAAATTCTTGGAGATTCAATGCCAAATCGCCATGTTCCTCAAAATGTGATATTTGAGATACTCTTAACATTGCCGCTGAAGTCTATTGTAAAATTTTCATACGTTAATAAGTTTTGGTGTACTTTAATTTTTAGACCTGAATTTGTGAAATCCCATACCAAGATTTCACTCCAAAAGAAGGAAGCAACTAAACTTGCATTTGGAGGCTCCACAGAAAGTAGGGTAATCCTTCGTTCCTGTTATCTAGATTCTTTTATGAATCAAATAAAATTTATAAAGTCTTTTGCAGTCTGAAGTACTAAAATAATCAATTCTTTAAGGATCATATGTTCTGTGAATGGACTATTATGTGTATTTGTGGGAACGCATAAAATTTTCCTTTGGAACCCAACCTAAGGAAAATTGAAATGTTTACCATCATCGGGTTCTTTTGACCTTAATAATTTGTCTCGATGAAAAAAAAAGAAGATAACGTGGTTGTCGAAATGTATAGTGTAATTATCGGTAAGAATCACGTAGCAAGTGTGAAGGTATGCAGCGTAAGAGATGTTTCCTGGAGAACAGGTAATAAGAGGAAAAGTAGTTCTGAATTTGGCAGCTCCTGTGTGTGTCAATGGAGCATTTCATTGGCCAGGTGAACAAGATCTCCCAAGGCATATGAATTCATTGAATTTGGTGACTCTGATGTACGGGAAAGTACCTATGCCCAGATGTGATACAGTTGGTCTTCGACATTTTTCATTGGGAGTCTTGAGGGGATGCCTTTGTTTGTTTTGTAAATATAATACAAAGTTGGATGTAGGGATGATGAATGACTGTGCCATCAAGGAATCTTGGAATAGATTCACTTGCATTATGGATGTCGAGAATTATTCGTTCGACAAACCATTGCCATTATATGTGTCGGAGATGTAGTATTCTTAATGAACTAGGAGTCAGCTTTGAAGTTATACGATTCAAGCGCTGAAACATCCAATTTCCATGAGAATTCTTTTATTCCTAGACCTTATCTTGAAGCAATTACCTACATTGAAAGTCTTCTTTTACCCAGCTTTAACCATGAAGGACACCCACTGTCTGGACAATGGGGAATAAAGGTAAATTACATTATCACAATATTAATAATTTCTTGTTGAGAAAAAATGTGTGTGTTGATTCTTAAACCTACTTCTGCCGAAGGACCTACTTTAACTGTCAAGAAAAAGGAAATGTTAATTGAAGTGTATCAATGGATTCAGAATGAGACTTTGGCAGTGAAATTTGCAACGGCGGTCTAGGAGATGTGGAGGTTATTGAAACTGGCTGTAAATGTGTAAACCACTTTGCTTATTTCTTTTGGGCTGCAACTTAGTAGTAGTGAGTAGAGTTGGTGTGATGGTCTCGTACTTTTTCAAGAGAAAATTTTCTTATACACAATTCTCTTGTTTCAATGGCAAATCAGCCTAAAGGAATTCTCGGTGATTCAATGTCAAATCACCATATTCCTCAAAATGTGATATTTGAGATACTCTTAAAACTGCCGCTGAAGTCTATTCTGAACTTTTCATACGCTAATGAATTTTGGTGTACTTTAACTTTTAGTCCTGAATTTGTGAAATCCCATACCAAGATTTCACTCCAAACGAAGGAAGCAACTAAACTTGCATTTGGAGGCTCCACATAAAGTAGGGTAATCCTCCGTTCCTGTTATCTAGATTTTTTTATGAATCAAATAAAATGTATAAAGTCTTCTGCAATCTGCGGTACTGAAATAATCAATTCTTTAAGGATCATATGTTCTGTGAATGGACTATTATGTGCATTTGTGGGAACGCATAAAATTTTCCTTTGGAACCCAGCCTTAGGAAAATTGAAATGTTTACCATCGTCGGTTTCTCTTGACCTTAATAATTTGTATTACGGTTTTGGCCTTGATGAAAAAAAAAAAGATGATTTTTGAGGAAATGTATAGTGTTGTTGTCGGTAAGAATCACATAGCAAGTGTGAAGGTATGCAGCATAAGAGATGATTCTTGGAGAAAAGGTAATAAGTGGAATAGTAGTTTTGAATTTGGCTGCTCCTGTGTGTATCAATGGAGCATTTCATTGGCTAGGTGAATACGAGCTCCCAAGGTATATGAATTCACTGAATTTGGTGACTCTGATGTACGGGAAAGTACCTATGCCCAGATGTGATACAGTTGGTCTTCGACATTTTTCATTGGGAGTCTTGAGGGGATGCCTTTGTTTGCTTTGTAAATATAATACAAAGTTGGATGTATGGATGATGAATGACTGTGGCATCAAGGAATCTTGGAATAGATTCGCTTGCATTATGGATGTCGAGAATTATTTGTTTGACACACCATTGCCATTATATGTGTCGGAGATGCTATATTCTTAATGAACTATGGGACAGCTTTGAAGTTATACGATTCAAGTGCTGAAACATCCAATTTCCACGAGAATTCTCTTACTGGTGGCCTTATCTTGAAGTAATTACCTACATTGAAAGTCTTGTTTTGTCCAACTTTAACCATGAAGGACACCCACTGTCTGGACAATGGGGAATAAAGGTAAATTACGTTATCACAATATTAATAAATTTTTGCTGAGAAAAAATGTTTTTGTTGATTTTTCAACCTACTTCTACCGAAGGACCTACTCTAACTGTCAGGAAAAAGGAAAGGTTAATTGAAGTATATCAATGGATTCAGAATGAGACTTTAGCAGTGAAATTTGCCATGGCGATCTGGAAGATGTGGAGGTTATTGAAATTGGCTGTAAATGTGTAAACCACTTTGCTTGGTGCTTCTGGGCTGCAACTTAGTAGTAGTGAGTTGAGTTGGTGTGATGGTCACGTACTTTTTCAAAGATTAGAAATCACGTATCTATGAGCTTATTGTCATTCTGATTGGGACTTTGAGCTGGATGCTGATAATTGGAAGTATTCTGCACTGCATCAGGGTTCGTAGACTTTCCTTTTGTTAAGAAAATAAAAGAGAAATAAGACTTTGAGTTGGATGATGATAATTTGAAGGATTCTTCATTGCATCAGGGTTAGTTTGCATGTGTGCACTTTTGTTACGAGGATAATAGAAAAGAACACTTTGTCGGTTAATTCAGTGGGTTTTTGTGTGTACTTGTAGATGCAGATGTGAGTAGAAAATAAATGGAATAAGGAAAGGCCTAGATAGAGCCTTGCTTCATGTACACCATGCTTGTACTGCATGGTATGCACTCCCCTCACAAAGAGGGAGGCCCACAAATTTTTTACTCATGGTGGGCCCCCTCACATGTAAGGGGGCTATGCACCATGCTGTATAGCATGGTGTACAACCATTATTATCCTAAAAATTTAGTTTCAGTTTCAATGAATTCTTAGAAAATGGAGAGAAAATTTGTCCGTTGATAAATGGCTTTTCTTCCTACTTCTACCATTGAGTTGAGAATTACTCTCTTTATTTAGAAATAAGAAAATAATACATCCAAGGAGTAGGGGTTATCAAAGCAAAATTTTTTGTAATTTTTAAATTTAATTTTGAAACTCAATATCGTTCAATCAGTTGCACTTTGAGGACAATACATGATGTGACTTGGTTTAGTAGATGTGGTTTTCGGTCCAAATGGCCGGGTGGGATTTCATAAGTATTTGGAATAAATCACGTAATTGATTAACTAAATTTTCGACAATGCTGATTATAATTTTCCATAAAGTAAGACAATAGAAATTCTACACACCACACAATACAAAAACATCTCCTTTCCAGCATACACAAAATTCTTTTATGTATACTATAATTATATTATTGATTATTTTGAGCATAGGAAGGCCTCCCCTGGTCAGCCTTATTGCTGCCTTATACGTGCATTGTCATTCTCAATGGGAACAACGTATAAAAATTCTTGTATAATTTTTACGTTGATAAATTTTAACCTCAATAATTACTCTTAAAGCTAATGATCAAACATAATGTTGTTTCAATTAAGTCATTTTTCACGTTTCCATTAAAAATTATTTAAAAAAAAAAACTTTTTTGAGGTATTTCACAACATATGTGGTTGACAACCTAGGTAAGATTGCAATAGAAGGCTAAAAAATACCACATCCTTGGTTAGTGCAGCAAGCACTCATTTACATGTTTTAAACCATGTATCAGTAGGGCCATGAAACTCTGGCATTTATTAATTAAATGTAAATGCAAGACGTGGTTGCTTTTATTAATTTGCTTCTAGCTTTGTTTTTGTTGCTCATTTGTATTTCTTTTGAATTTGCAGTTCGTGGTGTGCTTTATGGGTGTGGAGATTTAGCCCTCGTTTGGCCCTCATTTTTTTCTACTACATTACATTAATTTTTTTTTACTTTCTTCATTTCAACCATACATTTATCAAATAAAATAATATTACACATAAATCTAAATTTTTCATTATTTTTCTGCCACACATTCCCATCAATCACTATTTCAAAAAATTTCAACACCTCAAAATGGGGGCCAAACAAGGGCTTAATATTTCGCTTGGGATTTGACTATTAGCTGTGAGATATAATGGAATGATGAAAGATGGAAGATTTCAGTGAAGGATGAAGGTGTAAGATGGAAGATGCTAGTATAAGAATGTTGACATCAAAGTCGTTGAAGTTCATTTTGTACTAAAATCGACTTA